ATTCAAAAATAAAAACATCATCGCTTTCTCAAAATCACATAAAGCCATATTATAACATCGACTGAGATAAAGAATAAAATGAAATATTAAAAACACGATGTATCTCGCTGCATTGCGCGAGTACGCTTCTAGTATTTATAAGTGAATTTAACGTTTTTTAACATGTAATTTTAGAATATTTGTTGTTGGAAATATAAAAAAATAAAATTTAATAAAACTCATAGCTTATTATACATAACCTTTTTCAATGACTTAATGATACAAAAAATATATCAGTAAGCTTCTAGGGAGGAGCTTTATGTAAAAAGCCAAATTATTCATAAATTTGTCTCCAAATTAAAATGCATGCTCGTTTCATCTATTAAAAAATCTTCTCAAATAAAAGTTTTTCAATCTATACAAACAGATTAATCTATATAAACAACGTTATCTACATATGATTTAATAAAAAACCAATCTTAACCATTTTTACTTGGTTATTTGTTCAATTTAACCTTTTTATACGAACTGTAGAAGGAAACAAATCCCAACTGTGGTATATATCAGGGACGAACCCATATTTTTTTCTCAAACGATGACACCATTTGACTATAGAAACAAATATATAATTTTCTTTTCAAACAATGACACCATTTGACTAAGAAAATGACATTAACATGATTTGAACTTGAGTTCGGGATGGAAGAAAAGTCTTGCAAACCAACTTTACCAAATAAAACTTGTTCTCATTGTAGTTTCAAAATACATAAGATCACACATAACAAATTAATACAGTGACACTTTTCACGACCCTAAAAATATTTTACATTACAACAGATAAAAAAATACAGTAACACGTACCACCGTATGCTTTACATTGGGCCCGTCCCTGATCTATATTCATTGGACATCTATGCATGTAGAATTAGTAGATGGGGGTAGTTGAGTAAAATCCAAAGAGTTCAGGGGTATTTTTTTGAATATTTTGTGACCTCATACTCATTTCGCAGATAAGAGAAATTTAGCGGGGTCCAAATTGTACGGCACAAAAATACAAAGCCTTACCTCGACTTTCTTGTTTTATTACGAAATCACATCTCACATATTTTATTTAATCATTTAAAATTCAAAACAATAAAAAAACGACGATAAAAATAAGTGATCGAAAGTTATTTGTCCACGTTGATAAAAATAAATAACATTAAATACCATTATTTAAAAAATAGTAACAAAAATAATATAATATTATATTATAAAAATTTATGATATTTCTAGAAAATGATAAGAACATAAAAAGAATATTTTTAGTGAACGGTTGGGTTCACGTGAGACAATATTTTTACACTTGAAATTTCACAACGAAATGTTGTGAAGGTAAAAAAAGTTGAATCTTCACAACAAAAACACCGTAAAAGCTATCATCACAGTGTTTTGCTGTGAAGTTTCAAGTGTAAAAATCGTGTCTTACGAAAACAACCTTATCTCACATGATCCCAAGTCTTTCAGTGAATGTTGATCACCAATTTTAAGACTATACTTTGGAGAGTCAGATGATCCGAAAGATATAATCAATAAAACTATTTACTGTTTACTTTGCTTACGATACACAAATTGTATACGGTTCATGTTTTATTTTGACTATAAAAGATCTTGTTCACACCTACATACAAACATTATTTATAAGTATGAACTCACGAATGACATAGAACAAAATATTTCAAAATAAATGAGAATCGTCATAAATTCATGTTTTCATTTAAAGAGAAAACATATGTCTGTCCAAAAAAATAATCGAAACAATTTTGTAATTGATAAACTTATCAGCAAACGCAGATATGCTATATAATTGTTTGGTTTTCGAAATATAGAAATATAAACTTTTGATGGTGACGACACCAGACAGTGGAGCATTAGGAGGCGATGGCGGTCATCATAAGGTGGGATAACTGTATAAGCTTTAATACATTAATTTATTTATAAACTTAAAATCAACTTTCTATCGATATATAAAATTGACAAAAATACCCTTCCGTCAATTATTTCTATATTAAAAAAAACCATCTTATTATTTTTTGACAGAATTTAACAAATACCAATTGTAATTTTGCTGACATCCTTCATATATTTTTACCAATTCTATTTTTGCTGACATCCTTCATATATATTTTACCATTATATATCGTTATTTATTTAATTTTTAAATATATATATTTAATGGAATAATTTCAAAGGAAAAAAAAAGGAAAAATAAATATTTGATCCTCTACTTGGTACATGTTAACAAGTACATATCAACAATTTGCATCCAGGGTTTACGGCATACTGGTTATGATTCAGGAAATGTAGTAAAAAATCTCATCTATCTCGAGTTTGAATAGCGAGATATTATTAAAACCCTTAGAGTCATGGAGGTTGACTTGCAATGATTCCAACATGATCACGAGGAGATTAGTAGGTGTGCATAAGTTGGTTCGAAAACTCATGGTTACGCTCACAAAAATTTCATCCAATTAAATAAACTTTAACCCGTTATCTTATGATGTCTTACACCCTTCCAAGGGTAAGGATGGTCTATCTATAAAAATGATTTAACTAAAGCTATGTTTTCCGTTTTAATGTTTTATAGCTTTACGTAGAAACTGATTGATCTCACTGGGCATTTAGTTTGACACTTTTTCTTAAATGACATGTATGTCAAGTTATTTTAGCAGTGAGGCTCCCAAGGTTTGAGTGGAGCATTGTTGCCGGTAGAGGCCTTTTTGGGCTTACATCTTTAGATGAAATTTGTAGAGTTACTAGATACTATTTATTAGTAACACCCAGATGTAATATATATTACACTCTAGTGTACATTTTATGTTTAAATTTACTTACTATTTTAAGGGTGTTGAATATTCAGGTTAATAAAACAAGTTGAAAAACTTAAAATTAGGAAAATTATTAGTACAAAATTGGCAAAAAAATGGTTGCAAGATTCATGTGGCGTATGATAGATTCAAAGAGAATCTTGAGGGTGGGATCAAGGTGTTCACATGGGCTAAAACCGTTGACCCCCATATTCCTAATTTCACAATTATATAATTTCAATTTTAAATTACATCAATAATAATGTAATTAAAAAGTTTTCGGAATATATTATTTGAGTGGAAGTGTTCAATTCGGAGATAACCAACAAGACGACGTAAATTTTTAACAGAAATCGACAAAACTGGATACGTTAAACTGCTTCTCGACTACTTTCAGAGCAATGGTTGACAACATCGTTATGGACAAGGTTGATGAGGTGTCCTGTGAACAAATCAAGATCTCTTGCTTAAGCTGATGTGGGGTCCGGTGGGCTTAGATTTGCGGTCAAGGGAAGAAGGAGACGGAGGAGCAACATGAAACCGTCCATTTTAAAGAGAGAAGATTTGAGACTTTTGTTAGACAAGAGAAACGACGGAGGGGAGAGATCTTGTGGGTAGGTTTTGGGTTTTATGAGATAGCAATCAACATCATAGTTGATTATGAGATAATATGCTTGCATAAACATACGAATTTCCGAGTCTGACAGCTGAAGTGCGGGAATCACAATACATTTGAGTTTGGACTCCTTGTAGGCATTGGTTCTTAGACCAACCATCATATACATGGTTTGTCTCTTACATGATGCTTTTGGGACGAAACAATGTAAACCAGATCAGGCTACCATTTACAAACCCTTTTGCATAAACTATTTGAAAAGAAATAAGAAAAAAGACGATATAATAATAAATTTAAATAAATTAATATGGATATATGGACTTAACTTAAGCCCTGAACAAATGTTTGACTTTGCAATAAGCCATGTATATCTATTCAGTCGTAAACAAACACTAGATAATTTTTATTTAAAATAAATTACGTTTTTAGTCTCTATCGTTTCTTAAAAATTGTGAGTTTCATCCATATGGTTTTGAAGTTGTGGTTTTTTTTATTAACCTGGATATCTAACCCGCTATGCGAGCCGACTAATCCCAGCACGACCACCTGCTTTACAAATAGCCCGAAGTTACCGTATTTGAATCTCCGTGGCCACAAGGGGATTTTTAATCCTTGGATTTGAACCTGAAACTTCCTGGTACTTTTGACCTTTGGAGCCAAGTTCAAACCAATCAGGCACCACCTTTGTGGTTGAAATTGTGGTTTCCGTTCCTATAGTTTGCAATTTATTGTTTTTTCGTTCCTAAGACTAATAATATGTGAAACTGATCAGTGGTAGACCACAAGAACGATAACAAAAACAACAATGAACCGTAAATCATATTTTTTTTCTTTCTAAAACAGTTAATTTTAATTACTCACTTTGGGACTAACGTGACAGATAATACTCATAAAACATTTTAACATAAAATAATTTATTGAAATAAAAATATCAATCAAGCTGGTATAATTGTGTATTTAATTAATAAAATAATAGGTATTTAATTTATGGAGGACTATGAGAGTTGACCCAAGTTGCACTTGCACATGATGAAACGGCTTCCTGGAAGCAGCTATCTAGAATTGACTTTTCTGTATAAAACAAGCCAGCTGTTTGTTTATAAATATGCATCTTAATCTCACCTAAAAACTCAAATCATACTCCTTTCTATCCGCCATTAAAATGGGCACCCAAGATCAACAATATGGAGATGATAAGGTACGTTTTTCTTCCTTTTATGTTTATAGGATCATATATATAGACGTTATATATAATGAGCACGATTTTAATTGAAAACCCAAGTTTCATTGTGAACCGTGGGACGAATGGGAACGTGCCATGTGTGAAGCTTTTTACTGTTCAGTGGGATGTTTCAGACATTCATGTATCATTCAACATTATAGCAATCATTATGAATGGTGTATCATTCACGAATGTCTATGTTCATTATTCATGATGAATTAGACAATAGGGGACACGTGTCGTTCTCTCCTTTGTCTCGTCTCACAACAGATAAAATGTTTGCAATTGTAACAAGTTTTATGGTTGAAATTGGAGAATCTAATAGAACTCAAAAACTAGATTGTTCTGTTAGCATTTTTAACAGAGTTTTGAAAAAGTATCTTATTTAGCTTCTTAACGAAACTTGTTATGTAAAGTTTTTTATAGTGTTTTTTACAAATATTAATATTACGATTTACTTTTTGAGTTTTATTAGGTTGACCAATTTCATCGATAAAACTTGATAGGTCGTCTAATTTTGTAGTAACAACTTATTGTAACGTCTTTATATGACATACAATTCTTGGTCCAGTAAACTAAAAGTCTGGTTAAGTAGTTTATTAAGACTGTCAAGAATGGTTAGGACGTTCTAAAAAACCCATTTTGTTGTATCTTTAAATTTGTAGTAACGTGAACTGTTGATTCCGATGGTCTTATAAACAGGTCGACACGAGAACCGCAAAGCAGAAAGCCATTGACGAATGGCTTCCGATTACGTCGTCCCGGAACGCAAAATGGTGGTACTCGGCCTTCCACAATGTTACGGCCATGGTCGGAGCTGGTGTTCTCAGTCTCCCGTATGCGATGTCTGAACTTGGATGGTTGGTTCCCTCCGTCTAGCATAATGATTTCATTCAAATAAATACATTTAAAAAGCCCCAAACGAACCTAGTATGTTCCACTCGAAAGCAACTAATATGTGTCAAAAAAACGTATGAAATTTCAGGGGTCCTGGTGTTGCAGTATTGGTGATATCATGGGTTGTGACGCTATACACGTTATGGCAAATGGTTGAGATGCACGAAATGGTACCCGGGAAAAGATTCGACCGATACCACGAGCTCGGCCAGCACGCTTTTGGGAAAAAGCTCGGTCTTTACATCGTGGTTCCACAACAGCTGATTGTCGAAGTTGGTGTGAACATCGTGTATATGGTCACGGGAGGAAAATCTTTGAAGAAATTTCATGATTTGGTTTGCGACGAGAGTTGCAAAGACATCAAACTCACCTATTTCATCATGATCTTTGCATCGGTCCATTTCGTTCTTTCCCATCTCCCCAACTTCAATTCCATCGCCGGAGTGTCGTTGGCCGCAGCAGTCATGTCCCTCAGGTACACCCCAAGTCTGCAAAATGTCCCACATCGACTCTCACACAGATATATACAAGGGTTTCTCATTTTCCAACATTGTATGAGAGCAGCCGTCTAGCACCACCTTTAAACTTTGGAGTTCACATCAGTTAGACATAACGGCTCTTTTAGATATAAATTTAAAAGGGTTGTACGTATCCCACAATGGTATCAAAGCAGTTGTCTAACACCACCCATTTAAAGGGACGTGTAGACGTCAACCAGACAAAGAGGCTCCTTTAGATAGACGAGATACAACACAACTCATCAAACCTCTATATATAGGAACCCTCTTCTCGAAACCTCTTTCTAAAAGGGCTCTTTTAGATGGAGATTTAAAATGGTTCCACATATTCTAACATGGTATCAGAGCATGCATCTAGCACCACCTGTTGTAATGTTTACAATAGGGGCATGTTGGAGTCCCACATCAGCTAGACATAATGACTCTTTTAGATACAGATTCAAAAGGGTTCCACATATTCTAACAAACACGGTTGTTGTGATGCAGTTACTCTACTATTGCGTGGACGGCTTCTCTGAAAAAGGGCGTGCAACCGGACGTACAGTATGGATACAAAGCTAAGAGCACGACCGGAACCGTGTTTAACTTCTTTAGTGCATTGGGCGATGTTGCTTTTGCGTACGCCGGCCACAACGTGGTGTTGGAAATCCAAGCCACGATTCCATCGACCCCAGAGAAACCTTCAAAGGGTCCGATGTGGAAGGGAGTGATCGTCGCCTATATAGTTGTTGCCATGTGCTACTTCCCGGTTGCTCTTATTGGGTATTGGATGTATGGAAATGAGGTTTCCGACAATATTCTTATCAGTTTAGAAAAGCCGACATGGCTAATCGCTATGGCTAATTTGTTCGTTGTCGTTCACGTTATCGGTAGCTATCAGGTTCGAAATCTTTTAACTCTATTGAAAAGCTCATTTTGTTATTACTTAAAACCAAACCAATCAAACCCAATATATCCTAGCGACATCCACCTCAAAAAGTAGAACATGATGGTACTCATGCTTTTATTACCTATATTATCTAAAACATGTTTGTTTCTTTGGCTTGTAGATCTACGCAATGCCGGTCTTCGATATGATCGAAACATTGTTGGTCAAGAAGTTGAACTTCGCCCCTACTTTTACTCTTCGGTTTATCACGAGGAATCTATATGTCGGTAAGCAAACTATATACAAACTTGTTGCCCCACATTTGGTAATATTAGACTATGACAGGACAAGATAGAACCTGAGTGGAACAAAAATGCATTTTATCTTGGTGGAACAAAAATCAGGAAGATGAGATAATATTTATGAATTACTAAACTACCCATGTCAAATTTTGCAGCATTAACAATGTTCATAGGCATTTGCTTCCCTTTCTTTAGTGGACTACTAGGCTTCTTCGGAGGTTTTGCATTCGCCCCAACGACATACTTCGTAAGCAACTTTATCTTTTTCCCATTTCTTGATATATATATATAGTGAGGTTCAGTGAAGAATTCCAAAACGAGGAACACTCTTATAACCATTCATATGTACAATAGTATACACATGTGCATACTTTATAAATGAATGGTTAGTAGGGTGTTCCTCAGCTTTTCATTTTATATATGCAAGCTTTGTTAGACAGAGTCAAATGGGTTTCAGATATCCGAACATTGGTCCTAAAGAAAAGAATTCTTTTAGACAGATTCAAAGGGAATTTAGATATCCTGAAAGTGGTTCTAATCTGTTTTGTTGTTGTTCATGGTTCAGTTGCCTTGTGTGATGTGGCTTTCCATCTATAAACCCAAAAAATGGAGCCTATCTTGGATCACTAACTGGGTATGTATTACTTAACATCCCCAAAACACCAGTTCTTGGAATCTATCAATCATCCCTATTAACAATTCTTCCCAAATTTCAGATGTGTATCGTACTCGGAGTTGCTTTGATGATCGTATCACCTATCGGAGGGTTAAGACAGATCATTGTGCAGGCCAAAACCTACAAGTTTTTCTCTTAAACAGCTTAACAAAACAAGTCGAGATTTCGTATAGTATCTGGCCTAAACACAAGTCAAAGAAACTTGTGATTGAAATTGGGAACGACAAGAATTAACGAAGATCCCGATAAGCTATTTGAGAACTGTTTTTAAGGTTGAAAAAGAGTGTTTATAAGGCATAGGAATGCAGCTATTGTGTGCATATCTATATACATGTTTACAGTTGAATTCCGAGATGTGAATTCGACTCCGAAATTAGAGTGATATCAGCTATTTATTTACTATCGGTTTTCTGTTTCGGGTTTCACTTCTAAGCAGAAAGTCTTGTATGATTTTATAGTAATGAACAAATACCATTCATACCTGTTCTAGAAATGTGTTTCATTAATTCATATCCTATACAACATGTGAAAACCCAATATTATCACACCTGGAGGAGGGTAAGGTCGGGAATGTGTGCAGGCCTTACCTCTCTTCCAAGAGACAGAACGGATGTTTTACCTCTTAAGGTAATGGACAAGTCTGCGTATCCCAGACCCGAGTTTTAAATGAGATATATTGGGTTCGTTTTATTTATTACGTACTTTTTTTTGGGTAACCGTGCATTTCCGGGCCAACTTACACACCCCGACTAATCCCCCGAGGACGACGAATGGGTTGGAGTCATGCAGGTGAACCTCCATGGCCACAAGGGCTTTGGCAGTCCTGGATACGAAGCCAGAGAAGATGAGATTTCCACTACATCTCATCGAGTCTTAGGCTTCAGAAGAGATACCATAATAACCAAACAAGCCAAGTATATCCCACCTGAGATGTGACCCAAGGAACAAGAAGCAGCAAGCTAGAATTGCCTTCAATACTTCTTCATTATAACTAAGGGGCCGTTTACCAAACACTTATCCGGGTAAGCACCTACCAAGTCACATTACCTCACCGGATGAATATGATAAGGACTAAGAATCTTATCCGGTAAGAACGAAACAAGGACCATGAGTCTTACTCGGTAAGTGAGGGCGACGACTCTTACCATGGTAAACGCTTACCGGGTGAATTGTTGCATACAATGTCGTTTTGATGGACTAAAATCTTACCCTGTAAGTAAACAAGAGTGTTAAATTTTACCGGTAAGCACTTACCAGATAAGTGTTTGGTAAACGACCCCTAATAATCATCATGGGCACCCAAGATCAACAATATGGAGATGATAAGGTTTGAACACAATGGTTGTCTCTTTACTTTGCTATCTTGGTTCAACAAAATGGATTTATAACTGTGTCTCTACAAATAAAGTGAGGAACACCCTCGTAACCGCCTATCTATATGATAAACATATGTGCATGCAAACAATTGAAGATGTTTCTTGGTTTTAATGCACATGTGCATGCCAGACAAATTACTTGTATGTACATGTGCATATCGTATATGTGTATGTGTGTATGTGAACATCCCTTCTCTGTATAACGACTCTTTATGTATACATATATATATATATATGTATATATATACATATGTGTTTGAACCTTCCTTCTCTGTATAAGGACTTCTAGACAGGGATCAAAGGGGTCTCCGATATCCAACAATGGTTCTGATTTGTTTTATTGGTCTACATGGTTCAGTTGCCTTGTGTCATGTGGCTTTCCATCTATAAACCTTAAAAAGGGAGCCCATGTTGGATCACTAACTGGGTATGTATTAAGTAACATCCCAAAAAACCATTTCTAGGAATTTATTCGTCATTTCTAGTAACAACTTTTTCTGAATTTCAGATCTATATTGTACTCAAGAGTTTCTTTGATGATCGTATCACCTATCGGGAGGTTAAGACAAATCATTGTGCAAGCCAAAACCTACGAGTTTTTCCCTTAAGCAGCTTAGCAAAGCAAGTTGAATTTTAGTATAGAATCTGGCCTGAACGACTACAATTAACAAAGATCCCAATAAGCTATTTGGGAATTGTTTTTGAGGTTGAAGAGATTCCACGTTGTCTGAAGCCTGCCCTTTTTTTCGAGTGCTTATAAGGCATAGGAATGCAGCTGTTGTGAGCATATCTATATACATGTTGACACTCGGAATTTTTATATGTGAATTCTGCACGTAAAATTAAAGTTTTATTCGCTACTTATCTACTACAGCTTGTGTATTTTCATTTTTTTTGTATGATTTTGAAGTAATGAACAAATACCATTCTGATGATATCTACCTCTTAGGTGGAATTTGGTTTGCATAATGTTTTTGGATGAAATGAAATCTGTAAAAGAAATTTGACACTGAAATAATTGGAATGAGATGTTGTCAGGTTTGGAATAATGAAAATACAACATTCCATTCCATCAAAATACCACCTATATGCCATAAAATGTTTAAATTCTTTCTTTGTGGAATTCATTGGATTTGAAGATTCATTTCCTAAAAGAAAATGAATCAAACAAGGAAATGGAATTTGATAAATAATTCAACATTTTAATTCAATCAGATTCTTCTAGAATCTACAAATCAAATGTCACCTTAGGGTAGACTGTAGAGGACAGGTTTGCGTATATCCTACCCCAGACCTGTTCTCCTAAATCTATCAAACCTCACTTTCAAATGAGATATACTAGGTTAGTTTGGTTTGTAGTATCTCTTCAGAAGCCCAAATAGTTATTGTTTGCATAAGCCAGTGTTTTAAAAGGCATTAATCTAAGCTAGGCTGTTAAGGAACCTTCTAAAATATTCTATTTGACAAAGAGGTGGGAGCGACTTTGCCTAAATACAAGACAAGTATAGGGTTCAATCCCACAATTCCCACCCCTAGCCTCAGCCGCTGAGTGAACCAACTCTTATTATCTATCGGTTGTCCTTAGAGGCGGGTTCCATGTGGGGCCGGTTAGAGTTCCCAGTAATCAACCTTTTGCCCAAAATCACATGCGAAAATGAGGTCTAAGAAGGTGAGATGTATGCAGACCCTCAAAGAAATACGATCTATACAGTTGTAATCATGACCCAATAAGGTTTCTTGAAGTATATCACAAACAAGATTGGCATAGTATACATCAAAATGTTGGCTAAGATGTTGCTAAGCTATACAAGAATATATTCATCTTTCCCTTTCAGGTCTAGAAAATATGGATGTGGCATTTGGCACTTAGGAAACAGACATCAGATGTAGTTTCCAAGGACTTGCTTTAGGTTTTAAGATCCTTAGACAACTTCATATCTTATTTGACGGCCTGCTAAATACAGAATAAATGGCCGGCAATTTGTTTTTTTCTCTTGAAAACTGTACTTAAATAGGTGTAGTTACCCGCCCGGTTTTTCTGTTTCGTCTTCCTAGACTTCTCCTACTCGGATACTATCAATCTTGAGGATCGAAAACACCGGGGATGGGAACTCAAAGTACAGACGACATGAAGTCATTTGACTTAAAAAGTCCAACGGAAGATACATCGATTGTTGTAAGGCTCTGACTCCTATTAACTTATGATGCTATTCTTCTTTCCTTACTTTAAGGATTTTCTTAAATGTCAAACTGACGATGATTATGTGGGAAACATTCAACAAGACTTGGGTTCAGGGGAAACCCACAAAAAAAAAAAAAGGAAAACCGAGGAACACCCTGATAACCATTCATTTTTCCGGAATGCACATTTGCATAAAAGTAAATGAAAGAGTTTCCTGGTTCCTTGCACATGTGCATACCAGACAATTTACTTTTATGCACAGATAAATGAATGGTTATTAGGGATTAAGGTGTTCCTCAGTTTTCCATTTTTTTGTGGCCATCCCCTGAACCAACCCCACAACAATACTCAACTTCAGGTGAAAACCACAAAAAAAAGGGAAAAACTGAAGAACACCGTAATAACCATTCATTTGTCCGATATGCACATGTGCATAAAAGTAATTGAAAATGTTTCCAGGTTTCTTGCACATGTGCATATCGGATAAATTACTCTTATGCACATGTATATAGGAGACAAATGAATGGTTACTAGGGTGTTGTTCAGCTTTCCATATTTTTATGGTATTCATCTAAACCCAACCCCATTCAACGAATAGATTATCTTTTTGTGAACAAATGACGTATCCAATACATAAAAAGAGAGAATAGAAGATATCTATGACAGCATACAACAAATTTTGAGATAACAGGAAATAGAAGATGCTATTGATGTGTACCTCTCTATTCTTCTTTTTGAGGTTGGTCTGGTTGATTATCCGCACTTCATCTAAATGTGTGATATTGCATCTGATAACAGGACACAAGGACAAAGGAGCAGAAAGCAATAGACGATTGGCTTCCTATCACTTCATCAAGAAAAGCAAAGTGGTGGTACGCAGCTTTCCACAATGTCACCGCCATGGTTGGAGCTGGAGTCCTGAGTCTTCCCTATGCCATGTCAAATCTTGGATGGTATTACTTCTAAAATCGACACAAATTTCACTAGTTCCACCTTTCTAGTAAAAAGAAACATAAACCAAACTAAATGGATCTAGTATATCCCCTTGAGCACGGTCTGAGGAGAAGAGATGCACGAAAAAGCCTGAGCCCAGGCCCTAAGGCTTGATCAAGCCAACTTTTTTTCCAAGGCTGGTTAAAGCCCGGCCTGGAAAAGCCCGAAAATCCTGGTTAACCCGGATAGCCGGCCTGA